GGCAGCCACCGGGCCAAGCCGGCACACGCCCAAGCACCCAGCCCCGGACAACGAGAGCCACCAGCGCGGGCAAAAGCACAACCCACTAGAGGACAGCACGGAAGGGGAGTAGTGGGCCCTCAAATGATCCCGAAGAAGGGGCCGCCCAAGTCCCAACCTGACAAAAATACAAGCAAAATTTTTTTTTCTAACAGCGTGCAGTTGTGATGGTTTGTGTACAAGCTAATAGTGTGTCAGAATGGTATTCTTTAAAGTAAATAAAACTGAAGGTAATTGTTGCTAGTTTTATTTAATTTAAAGTATTGTCAAACAAAACTATGCACTTAACCATATATTTACCTACAAAAAAAAGATAAAATCCTAACTTAACTCCTGACAGAGAAACAGAAAAGTGATGCTCGAACAAAAAGGATCAATTTTTTTTTTACCTCCTTCAATTAGTACTCCCTGTAAGGTGTGAGCTATGAGGGCTGAAAACCTGCACACTGAGAGAACCACAGACTTAAATAACTTTGGAGCACGGGAACTCATCTCCATTTATTCAAAGAACTCTCCTGTCTTTCTCTCCGTTCAGGAGAGGAAAAACAAAACATAAAACTAAAGTCAAAGCACACAATATAAAACTCTCTTGTTTATACTATTACAAAAAGTGATGGTGATGGTGCAGATTCACAAATCAACAACTATTTCAAACCTCCATCTCTGTGCAGCATGCAGGATGGTGTCATCTGTAGGTCCTGGCCCTCACTGGTCCAGACTGCTGGCTCCAGACCATTCAAAGAGTTCCACCTGGTTCACCACCTATAAACAAGACACACACACAGCCACACTAGTTACAGAAAACAAGGGCACACCCAAACTGCAAAATAAATAAATAAATAACACAAAGGTGCCAGTCAGTGTATGAGACACTAGTCTGGTCTAAAATGTGATAAAAAAACAACATACAGACACATTATGGATGGACATGGATTACTGAGATGCATCAGGATACAGACACATTGTGACAAGTCTAGAGGAGACAACTTTTTATGCAAGAAGCTATATAAAATAAATGTATGTCTACCTTAGTGGGACTTCTGACACTGCCCAGGGTCTCATAGGTGGGCAGTATGAGGTGGTTCAGGTGTAAGCAGGTCTCCAGATGATCACCAATCTTTGTGGGTCTGTTGTTGGACTTGATGATTTTCATGTGAGAGAAAGCTGACTCCAGAACTCTCCATCCATGCGACTTGTTGCTCTGGATTTGATCCCAACGTCATTTTGCAGAGTCAAAACCTCATTTTTAACACCAGAGCAGTCCAGCTGAAACATGGACACAAATTTGGACACATCCATCCATCCTGGTGGACAACTGAACGATACGATCTCACTTTTATTTTTAAAATCATGGAAAAGCACATCTGCAGCACCAATAAACGCTTCTTTCATGACTTCTCCATCGCTGAAAGACTTCTTATGTTGAGACAGGATGCGGCTAACACGGTATGAGGCTATTGTAGCAGCCTTACCTTGTGTGCTGGGCCGAGTGAAAAATCGATTGCTGGGCTTCTAGCTTCCTTTTTAGCTCCCGCCCTTGAGTCCGTAATGAACAGCAGGCAGTTCCTGAAACACCCTGAGCTGAGCTCCTGGGGAAACCCCTCCCGCTGCGGGATTCCTTCCCGGGGGAGTCCAATGCGGAAAGAAAAAAAAGTCTGCGGCTGGCTTGACGTTGTTTATCCTGAAACTGGTCCCATTTTAAGTTCCAAAGTTTTTATCAGTCAGATTCCACTGTGAAAAATGTCTGTTTTATCCCCATTCATGAGTTTTTGGCCGTTTGACTATCTTTAAAAATCGCAGCTTCCTGGTACAACAGTCGGCTCTGGAAGGGATTGCTTTTTTCTTCCTTTTTTTTTTGAAGCGAGTGGTTGAAGCAAATGCAGCGTCTGCTATCAGCACAAACAAAAACACTCCCACGAAATCCGTCTCATACCGTTTGTGCATCATCTTGAAATGTCGCTCCAAGTTACACTTTTTGGGTAAGGCAACGCTCGAATTACAGATGAGGCAAATAGGCTTCGAATTTAGAATAAACACAAAAATACTCCTCCTCCCACTCTGTGAAAATAAGTTTTCGTTTGCTTGTTCGCTAGTTTTCCAACCATGTTTTCTCTGCATCGACAACTCCACCACTGAACCTAAAGTCTCATCAGAGCGCTGTGTCACCACACCCAAAACTCGCAAGACAAAATCTGTGAAAATGCAAGAGGGGGAGGGCGTAGGGAGCGCATTGCTGCACGTTGGAATGTGTTACTTAATCTCCCCCCACCTCCACCGCTTCTGCCGGAGTTAAAATGAAGCTTAGCGAGCGAACACATCACCTTGCTAACAGTTGACAAGCCGGCTCGCAAGGTTGCGCTTCGCAGGCACCTAGGAATCAGCTGGCGGGCACCGAGTCGCCCGCGAGCGACGGATTGGGCACGCCTGCCATAGTGTATCGAATTTTGTTGATATATTTTTCCCCTCATCTAACCTTCTGTGGTATTTTTGTTTTTCTTTTTAAAGGTAGTGCGCCCCCTGCTAGTTGCTGCATGACCTAATCACCTGTTCCCCCATGTTTTTGACATTTGTGTCTTTTCTAAAATGGGTGTTCTTAAATGTAATTTCATTGTGCTCCGTCCAATGACAATAAAAGTATCATCAATCAGTCAAAACTCCCTTTTACAGTTTTTGATATAAAATTGTTGTTGTTTTTGTGGTTGTACCTGAGTTATTCTCAACTTCAAGCTCTAACATTAGTTAGAGTCAACCCTGTCTGTCTGTTAGCAAAATATCACATGAACAGGTTTAAATGAAGCTTTTAGAAAATATTACTAAATGTCAGATTAATTCAAGACACAACCAGCATACTGAGCTGAGATCTGATGTGGCAGGAGCTGAGAGTCGTATTATTTTATTTGGGGGGAAACTACATACCTGATAAAAACTGACTGTCATTTATTGTTTAGTAAACCTCTGGGAATCAGAGTCCATTTCTCTTTTTCCAGAATTGTGTAACTCATATGTTCTCTGCAAGAAGAGCAAATATTTAAAGAGCTGTTTTTTTTAACTGTTGCAACACATTAGCATTACGGGGTCCATGGTACATTAAGGACTTGGAAACTGACTGTGACACAAATTAAAATACTCCCAAAATAAAAAATAAAT